AAAAAAAAAACCCTCAACAAATTATGAAAAGAATGTACCACAGCAATTAATCAAGAATAAGAAATAAAAGAGATCCAAATCAGAAAATCAAGAATAAGAAATAAAAGAGATCCAAATCAGAAAATCAAGAATAAGAAATAAAAGAGATCCAAATCAGAAAGGAAGCAGTTAAATGGTCTCTATAAATGACATTATATTATAAATAGAGAACCCCCTAAAGACTCCACCAAAAACCTATCAGAATTAATAAGTGAATTTAGTAAGGATACATGATATAGGACTAGAGACATGGCTAAAGTGGGGGACCTGAGTTCAGTTCAATCACTGGTATCATAAAACAAAACAAAACAAAAAAAACCCAAACCCTATAGGATACAAAATCAACATACAATAATCGGTTGCAATTCTATACACTATTAACAAACTATCTGAAAATAATCTTATTTCCAATAGCACCAAAAAACACAAAGTATTTACTTTGGAGTAAAGTTAACTTACTTAGGAATAAAGTTAACTAAGGGGCTGAAAGATCTGTACACTAAAAACTGACATTAATGAAAGACATTGAAAATAACACAAATAAATGGGAAGTACCCATGCTTGTGGATTATAAGAATTAATAGTTAACATGTCCACACTACTCAAATCTCCAGATTCAATGTAATCGCCATCAAAATTCCAATGATATTTTTTCACAGAAATAAATTCTAAAATTAGTATAGAACCATAAAAAACAAAATAACTAAAGCAATTTTGAGAAACAACAAAGCTGCAATCATCATACTTCCTAATTTCAAATTATATTACAAGGCTACATTAATCAAAAACAGTATGAGTGCTTTCATAAAAGCAGACATGGAAACCAATGGAACATATGTGCACAGAAATAACCCCCTGAACATATGATCAACTAATCTTTGACAAGGGCACAAAATATGCACAGGGGAAAGGATGGTCTCTTCAACAACAGTCATTTGGGAAAACTGGATATCTACATCCAAAGACCCTTATCTTTCACCATGCACACATTAATGTGAAATGGACTGAAGACTTTAAGATTCAAAATAAAAAAACTCTTAGAAGAAAACATAGGGGAAAAGTCCTTAACATTGGTTTGTTAATGATGTTTTTTGGCTATGACACCAAAAGCACAGGCAACAAAAGCAAAAACAAATGGATTATATAAAACTAAAAATCTTCTGCACAGCAAAGGAACAATTAACAAAATGAAAAGACAACCCACGGTATGGGAGAAAATACAGGCAAACCATGCATCTGATAAGGGATTAATATCCAAAATGCATAAGGAACTCATAAAACTTCATGGCAAAAAATCAAATAATATGGGTTTTTGTGGGACTGGGATTTGAGCTCAGGACTTCACACTTGCAAAGCAGGCACTCTACTGCTTGAGCCACACCTCTAGTCCATTTGCTCTGGTTATTGTGGAGATGGGGTATCACGAACTATTTTGCCTGGGCTGGTCTTGAAAGGCAATCGTACTGATTTCAGCCTCCCAAGTAGCTAGGATTATAGATTTGAGCCACTGGCACCTGGCTCTAAATAATCTGATTTAAAAATGGGTAGGTGCAAGAAAACATGCTCCACATTACTGATCATTAGGAAAATGCAAATAAAACCATGGGATATCACCTTGCATCTGTTAGAATGGCTGTTATAAAAAGACAAGAGCCGGGTGCTGGTGGTTCATGCTTGTAACTTGAGAAGCACAGATCAGGAGGATCTTAGTTTGAAGCCAGCCCTGGGCAAATAGTTCGCAGACTCTATCTAGAAAATACCCAACACAAAAAAGACTGGAGGAATGCCTCAGGTGGTAGAGTGCCTGCCTAGTAAGCATGAGGCCTGCAGTTCAAAGCCCAGTACCACCCCCCCCAAAAAAAGACAAGAAATAACAAGTGTTGAAGATGTGCAGAAAAGGGAACACTTGTACACTCTGGTAGGCATATAAACTGGTATAGTCATAGAATATTGTATAGAAGTTCCTCAAAATATTAAAAATTGAAATGTCTTATGGTCCAGCAACCCTATTTCTGTGTATATATCCGAAGGACATGAAATCAGTACTTCAAGAAGATATTTGAGCTGGGCACCAGTGACTCACACCTGTGATGGCTCAAAGCCGCCTGGGTAAATAGTTTGCAAAACCCCATCACCAAAATAACCAGAACAAAATGGACTGGAGTTTCTCCTGCTTTGCAAGCAAGAAGCCCTGAGTTTAAAACCCAGTCCCTCCCCCCAAAATAAAAGAAGGTATCTGTTAACTGCAGCCTTATTCACAACAGCCAAGGTAAAGAAAGAATGTAAGTGTACAGACACAGATGAACAAATAAAGAAAATGTGGTACATGCATATAGGAAGATATTGTTATTATTATTCAGCCATAAAAAGGTAGTATTGCCATTTGTAACACTGATGAACCTAGAGAACATTATGCTAAGTGAAATGGGCCAGACACAGAAGGATTGATACTATAGGATCTTATTTACATGTAGAATCTAAAAAAGTCAAACTCAAAAAAGCAAAGAGTAGAATGGTGATTGTCTGGGGTTGGAGGGTTAGGAAGATGGGGAGACATTGGTCAAAGGGTACAATAAGATTGAGTAAGTTATGTGATCTATAGTACACCATGGTGTCTGTAGTTAATACTGTGCTGTACCTATTTTTGAAATTTGCTAATACTTAGATCCCAAGTGTTCTCACCACAAAACCACATACCAAAAAGGTAACTATATGAGGTAGTGTTGATTAACTAAATATATATATTAAACAGTAGTCTGAGTGCTCTGTTGAATAAAAGGCATGATGATGATGATAATAGCAGTTATGATAGACACTAATAATTTCTAAGCATCTACTTTGTCTTACTGTTTTAGATTTATTGATATACAATGGTGACAAATGTTCATACCAAGTTATAATCACATCTTTGTGTATAAGAACAGATTTGCTGCATGTTATCAGCACTTAAAAAAAATTTTCTTGGACTGGTGGAGTGGCTCAAGTGGTAGAGCGCCTGCCTAGCAAGCATGAGACCCTGAGTTCAAACCCCAGTACCACTAAAAAAAAAAAAAGTTTCTTTTGCTAATCTGAAGATGAAAAACAGAATACAGTAGTCTAATCCGCATTTCTTTGATTACTGCTGAGGTTGGGCATTAAAAAAGAATTTTGAACGCTTTATATTCCTCTTATTATTTGTTAAAAAGAGATCTTGATATGCTAAAACTTTACACATTAACCCTTTGTCTGACATGTATTACAAAGATTTTTTTCCCAGATTGGCATCAGGTTTTCTTGACAAGTAAGTAGAAGAGGAACTATTAGTAACTGAGAAGAGAGAAGAGAGAGGACATGATCAATGCATGATGCATGCACATATGGAAACATCACAGTGAAACCCTTTAATTTGTTTAATTCATACATGTTGATAAAATTTTACAGCCAATCAGTTCCTCTGTAAGATTTTCCAATTCTTTTCAATTAAAAGTTTTTTCTGTTTTAAATCAACTACATATTCACTTGAATTTTGTGTTTATTTGGTTCAAGACCAGACCCAGCAAACAATTCTCTAGACCCCATCTCAACCAATGGCTGGGGACGGTGGCACATACCTGTCATCTCAGCTAGGCGGGAAGCCCAAATGTGAGGATGGCATCCAGGCTGCCCAGGCATAAAGCAAGGCCTATCTCAAAAATGACCGGAGCAAAAAAGGATGGGAGTGTGGCTCAAGTGGTAGAGCGCCTCCTATGAGGCACACACCTGAAGTCCAAAGCTCAGTGCTGAAAACAAAGTTACCAGGGCAGCTGAGTAACATAAAGTGAGCATGTATAAAGAAGGGAAAACCTCAGCGAGTAGTGGGCAGAGTTTCAAGGTAGTGGACATACGCATCAGCCGGGCTCAGGGTGTTTCTTGAATGTCATAGGAACTTGTGATAAATCTGAATGACGAGCAACCATTTATATGAACTTATCCCTCATTCTGAGAACTTTTCAAGGAAGCCTGGGGAGGGTGGGCAAGCTGAAGAGGCGCGTCTAATTGCTGGGCTTGGAAGCTGATGAAATGGATCCAGGTGAGCGTTGGCGGGTGGCGTGGGACGGGATGAAAGGCCAGGGGTCTGACGTCTCACCTATAAACCTGTTCCTTGAGTCAACTTATCACCGGCTACACGAACTTCCCAGAGTCCTTGCGAGACTGAGCACAATTCCCGGCCCCTCACGCCCACAGCCAGTCCAAGGCCAGGTGCTCACGCAAGAACTGACGTCATCGTCGTGACGTCAGCGGCGCCGACGCGGGCTCACAAGGAGAGGCCGCTCGGCTCACTTCAGAACGCGGCCGGCTCCCAGCTGCGGCTCGCCCCTCCCGTTCTACGCCGAGAGACCGAACAGAGAGAGCTGCGAAGGTCGAAGCGCCAGGGAGACTCAGGAGCGGCCACCTCCCGGCCTCCTCGGCCTTTTCCCGCGCGTTCTTGGAGGCCGGCGAGCGGTCCCGGGGGGGGGAGGGGGACGCGCTCCCCAGCCCGCCGCAGGAGGCGGGCACGCGCACGCACGCTGGTGTGCGCGCTTGTCTCCTCGGAACCCGGAAGTACGAGGGAGAGGAGCCACGTGGGTTGAGCTGGAGCGCAGCTCGAATGGGGGAGTCTATCCCGCTGGCCGCCCCGGTCCCCGTGGAACAGGCTGTGCTGGAGACGTTCTTCTCTCACCTGGGTATCTTCTCATACGACAAGGCCAAAGACAATGTGGAGAAGGAACGGGAGGCCAACAAGAGCGCGGGGGGCAGCTGGCTGTCGCTGCTGGCGGCCTTGGCGCACCTGTCCGCGGCCGAGAAGGTCTATCACAGCCTCACCTACCTGGGGCAGAAACTAGGTACCTCCGCCCCGCACCCGTGCCCCTTGAGGAGGATGGAAAGGGGGTTTACTCCCCGGTCGGCAGTGGCTTGGGTTTCCCGACTATCACTCCCAGCGGCAAGCTGAACTCGGCTTCCCCAGGTCTCCTCCCACCGTCCCTTTCCTTCCTTCGGCTTCCACAAGCCCCGCCCACCGGCCTGGGTCGCTGATAGATTGACGGATGCTCTTTGCAGGGCTTAGTCCCAAACCTGTGGGTATACCGTTTTGCCTCGTGCATGTATTGGTGACAAAAATGAGAAGTTAACCAGAGTATGCCCTCGTACTTCTAACTAGTGACACCGCGCTTAGAATGCAAAACTTGGCAAGACAACTTAGATGTATTAATGAATACTGTCTGGCCTTTTAAAGTTACAGATGGGAGTCCTGGCCTCTTCATAGTCATTCAGTGCATACTTAATGAGTGAAGAAATAAATGAATACTGAGCAGGAAAGGCAAGAAATATGCCAAACACTAAGAAGAGGAGACTTAAGGGGAAAATGATAAACACTGATAGCATCCCATGTAAATCTTGTCCCTGAAAATAAGATGCAAGAGCTGGTTCAAATGACTTTCACTAATAAAAATAACTAATATAAGTGGGTAAGACGGAAATAATAGATGTAAAAGCCAAAGGCTTTTTTTTTTGTATGCAAAGGCTATGCATACAAAGCACTGTGTAACACTGGCAAGTAATTTTTGAATCCCAGCGCTTTTGCTATTCTAAGTACTTGGCCTGTTTTAGACCACTTAATTATCGGAGGCCAATATTCACAGGCTTAGGGGTGTGGTGTGAGTGAGGGGCAAAGATATATGCTATAAGGAATAGAAATGTACAATTGATCGTAAATCGCATTTTGGGATTAACCCCCTTATATTCCCTGTACAAGTGACCTTGTACATCTTACTGTAAACACAAGGGACAGGGCTTCTGAGATCCTAACTTCTGCTGTAGCTATTCAAGTAATTTATTTAGCGTACTGATTAGCAAAAGTTGGTCAGATAGTTTCACTTTATGTATTTGTTTTCTTCCCTTTTTTAACAGTGGCACCTCTCACAAAATGTGTAGTTGCTGTTACAGTGTCATTACCCTTACTACAAATTAGCAAATTGTATATACATTTGTGTTGAATAGGTGATGGAGCCCAAACCTGAATACCTGCCTTTGAACTATCAGATTGAATGTATACATGTAATTTATTTAAAACATGTACATAAAATTTACACATGTTGTATATACATAAATGTGTTAGCTGTAACATTGAAAGTGGATACTATTCTGGCGATTTGGGTTCTTTTTACACTCCTCCACTTACAAAGAATGGTGATTGACCAAAGTGTGTGATTCATAACATTTTTTTTTTAAGCTCATCCATGGGAATTTGATGAAAGCTGTAGATTTACTCACCAGAAAAATATATGTGTACATAAAATTTTTCATCTAACCTGAGAGAGTTCAGTTGGATTTCCTAAAGCCTATTTACTGACACCAATTAAGAAAAAAAATCTGCTCTAGTTTTAAGTTGTATGAGCCACGTTTTTATGTAAGCATAACTGGCTCATCTGTGTGTAAGAATATGTACATGAGTCCTTCTTTGTCTCTTAGTTGGGTTTTGTGAAGTGGACCTTATATAAAGTGATGAGTTCTGCTTCAACCCCACTGATGTGGCTGGGCCTGAGAGCTGTGCCTTGAAATTGACCTGCACACCAGTTCACAGTGTGAAGTCCAGACAGTATTAGGCTTCCATATGGTCTCACTTCTGGGTAAATGTCCTGAAGACAGCAAGCTCCATGCTTCATAATTTACATGTACAAAGTAACAATGCAAAAAATGTAGTCCAGAATTAAAAATTTAACTGTGAATATCTTAGGATTGTTTTTGTCCTGGAATGTATGTGATAACAGTGAAATTATAATAGGGCCTCCTGACTATCAAGGTGACTGTTCATTTTCTATCAAGGTGACTTCATTTCCTTGAAACAGGAAAAAATTGTGTTGCTGTATAAAATATTCCTGTGTTTCACAACTATATTGCTAATTAGATGAGTTATATAGTTTTATTTATAAAGCAACACAAAAAATTTATACATAATTTTAAATTTTTTTAAAGATGGTTCACAAGTCTTTTTTCAACTTTAAATAAAAATTGTATGTATTTAAGGTGTACAATTTGATGTTTTGTATACATAAACAGTGAAATGGTCACCACAATGAGGCTAATAATACATCTTCCACCTCATATAATTCCTTCTTTCCTTCCTTCCTCCCTCCCTCTCTCCTTTTTTTTTCCTTTCCTTCCTCCCTCTCTCCTTTCCTTCCTTTGTAATGAGAACACTTAAGATCTACTGTCTTAGCATGTTTCAAGTAAGAAAATGAGTCTTCTTGACCACTTACGGCTGGTGTTTGAGTGTGTAGCAGGGAATTGTGCTTATAGATGCAAGCATGAGCCTTTAGACAGAGGACAACCCTGACTGGAGTCTTCTGTGGCTGTTCTGGCTCTTACTGAAAAATCCTGGGTGTGACCCTTGTCTTGGCACCTTCCCTTTCCTTTGAGGGAAGAATCAGTAATTAAAATGTGCTGACTCAGTGTCTGTAGGGTTTTGAAGGTCTGTCTTCTCTTCCCTTTGATTCATTACTGGAGGCTTTCCTCAACCTCTGATTGCTAAATTTTGGCTAGTAGATAAGACTTGAGAACTGATTTTCTTAAATTATTAGCAAGAAGTTGTAGAGTAAAACTGCCCAAGATGTTTTACATGCTCCTTTAATATACTTAAAATCTCATGATATGAGGTAATCTGTTGGAATCTTGAAAAATAATGAGCATTCACAATTAGAACCTTCTGGGAAAAATGCAAAATAATTATTTGTAAATTTAAAAGTATTGGAAAGAGAAGTATCCAGGTGTTTCTGATTCCTTGTTTCCCAGCATGAAGGAAAGCCAGTCCCCACTGGATATTCCAAGTCAGGGTAGTCAGTAGATAGGATTGTGTTGCTGAAAGCTTTGGGAAAAGAGACTTGTTTTAAAACAAGTGCTTTGGTGGTCTCTTTCTTATAGTGCTATAATTTTACTTGGTTTTGCATACTGGTGATTGGTGCTTGATAAACTTTTAATGGTATTATGTGTATTTAGGTAGTGTTTCCATTCCCCTAGATAAGGGTAATCTGATGAGAGTAGGTATTCCTTTTTCAGTGGCAAGTTAAAATTTTCACCAAGGCCACCCCCCCCTTTTTTTTTTAATAAAAAGAGGAAATGTTTATTTCTTAGTTTGTTTTTCAGATAGGGTCTTACACTTTTGCCTGGGCTGACCTCAGACTGGGATCCTCCTACCTCCAACTCCCAAGTTGCTGGAATTGCAGTTATGTACCACCGTGCCCAGCTTTGTTTTCATATAGGGTCTCATGCTGACTTTGCTCAGACTAACTTTGAACCGCAATCCTCCTGTCTCCACCCACTGAGTAGCTGGGATTACAGGCTTGATCTACCATGCCCAGCCAAAGACCACCACCCTTTTTAGCAGTGGAAGTGAGTACACAGTTGAGTCACATAGCTGTTTGTCAGATAAGTAGCAATTTCACCAAGAGTTATGAAGCTCACTTACATATTATTGGGAGTCTCCTTATATCAGAAGAGTGTGCATCATTCCAGGCATATTGCAAAGATTTTGTTTGGGCTTTTTTGCAGTTTTAGTACTAGTTTTATGTTAAAAACAGCAACAATTAAGGCTCAAAGTAGCTAGGTAATTAGCATATCACAAGTTTGGGAGCTGGGAGTTAAAACCAAGTCTTTGAAACTTCTACATCTTTGGATTTAACAGGATCCTTTTTTTTTTTTTAGTGGTACTGGGGTTTGAATTCATACTTGCTACACAGACTCTCCCACTTGATCCACTCTGCCAGTTAGGTGATACCTAGTTTTTGTTGTAGACATGAGCACAGAAGCCTATTCTGTACTCATCACTATAAAATCAGAACTAGATTGAATATGGGAATAGAAGGAAGGCAGACCCTTCAGGGTACAGTCCTATGTGAAATGTTGGGTGTCACAATTGGTACATCCATACTATATGGTTTTTTTTCTGTTATTTATAGGAGAAATGATAATGAATGCTACTTGATCTGTTTAGATGAGGTGTTGGAGAAAATGCTAAGTATTAATAGTTTAGAGTGTCAGTATTAGGGTGACCAACCATTCAGGTTTGTCCAGGACCAGGGGTTCCCAGGATATGGGACTTTATTTTAAAAGGTATACTGTGTTGAGTATGGTGGTGCACATCTTTAGTGCTGACTATTTAAGAGGTGGAGGTGAGAGCATTACTTGAACCCTCAAGTCCAAGACCAAGCTGGGCAACATATGAGACCCCCCCATCTCAAAAAAATACAAAAAAAGGCAAAACCTGGAGTCCAGACTTCCTGTGCTGAATCCTGGAAAGTCTAGGTAAGGTGGGACAAGTTGGTCACCCTAGTAGTAAGGGATGTAAGGCTCATTTCTTAAAACATAAGCCAAGCAATGAACTAAAAATAATATTGTGAAGTAGTTCATTAGGATATTTTGTACATCCCTTGATACATAATTTTCAAAATCCAATAATATGTTTAAAGTAGTAATTCATTCATTCAATAAGGAATTCAGCAGAATATCTTGTTTATCGACCGAAAATTTAAACTGTCATCCATCTCTGAGATTTTTTTTCTCATAGGTATATAAACTATTTATTAACAGAAAGGACTAGATTCATTTCTTCTTGGACACGCCCATGGTACAACCACTGTGGCAGCCAGTGGTCTTGGTGTTCTGGCCTCTGACATGAAGGCCTCAGAAGTGGCACAAGCTTCTGTGGGCCCGAGTTGAGATTTTTGTGTATTTGTAGAAATTAGTGTTTAGGGCCTTCCATTTCTTTTTATTGTCCCAATGTGTTGCTTCTGGCCCTTTGGTGGGGTGCCCAGTTGCTTAAGAAAACATCCAGGAAGCTGGCTGTATAATGAGAAATACAACTGATCATGCTTAAGTACAGAAGTAAATAATAATCTCTTTGCTATTTCATCCTTTTTTGCTGATTTCCTTTGGAACCTCTGAGTTAGAGCAGCAGTTACGTATAATTGGTTCCTAGTCTTAATAATTCAAAATGTGATCCTTATTATAGTATCACCTATAGTGTCAGCCTTGTTAAGAGCACTGTAGTCTTCTTTCCCTGAGATCCCAGTATATGTTTTTGCATAAAAGGGTTTTATGTGTGTGTGTATTGCTTTTTCTGGTATGGCCTAAAAAATAAGATAAAAGAAAAGTGCAGCTCTAAGGCAGAAACAAAGCATTCTGATTTATCAAGAATAACAAAAGTGTTTTATTGTTTGGGTGTTCTGTTTTGTTTTAAATGTGTTTATGAGAAAGGTTCTTTTTTTCAAGCTGGTCGATGTTATTTGCTAGGTTAACTGTGCACTGCAATAAGTCTGAGGACTCATTGAAGTGGAGTGGGGGTTCAATGAGTGGTTCAAGAGTAAGAAAATCATACACAGGGCCTTTGCTACACTAATGATGTACAAGGTATTCATTTGAGTTATTATGAATAATGTACAAGGTATTCATTTGAGTTATTCCTCAGTGAAATTATGAATCATAAGGTATTTGTATCCCAATCATAGAGTCAGAGAATGTGGTCAGTGCAAAGTCGTTGAGGTCAGTGGGTTCTGGTTCTTTCCTTTTGGATGCTGGAAGGTATTGGTAATTCTGGTTTCTCTTCCTTACCTGTAATGTGCTTATGTCATTTGCCTACCAGGGGGCCAGTCTTTCTTCAGCAGGAAGGATTCCATCCGTACCATCTATACCTCGCTGCACAATGAGCTGAAGAAGGTGGTGACTGGCCGAGGTGCCCTGGGTGCAACTGCTCCTCACGTGGAAGAACTCCTTTCTCACCTGTCAGAACAGCTCTGCTTCTTTGTTCAGGCTCGGATGGAGATCGCAGATTTCTATGAGAAGATGTACACCCTCAGCACACAGAAGGTCATCAACGCTGAAGAGCTGGTTGGCCTTTTGGATGCCATTCTCAAGAAATACAGCTCCAGGTCAGTATAGCGTAAGGCGGGGAGAGAATGTCACAGTCGTCTGGATCCCACACAGGCTCTGAGCTTTTTCCCCACTCTGTGATTGAACTAACTGAAGGAGAAGTAACCATTTTGTACATATTAAATAACATATATCTAAACCTTTGGATTTAGTTAACGCCATATTGGAAGGGTACTTCTCTAAGTAATAAGGAAAGACTGAGAATGAAGTAATCCTTAAAAGTTGTATTAACTAATTTTGCTTATGAAAGAGGTCCCATATCAAGAGAATTGTATAAAAAATGTGACTTTAGCAAGTGACTATGCAAATAAACATCCCTTTCAAAGTAATCACCTCTGAGTTATCTATGTGTTCCTCTGTTGTAGCCATTAGTCTATGTTGGGAATGCATTTGTAATTGCTTGCAGTCTGTGACATATAATTTTGGTTTTGTTTTCAATTTCCTTAGTGGAGGCAGGCATCTGCTTTTGAGGGGGACATAAGAGTTTTGGAATGGCCAAGAAGTTATTTAGAGACAAATTTAACTTTTTTTTTTTTAATAAAAGATACTGCTCAGCTGGAAAATTGTTTTTGTTTGAAGGAAACTGCTATTTACAGAGAAAGGAGGCTGCTTATGATGCGCTGCTATAGCCTCACCCAAAAGCAACATCAAACGAATTTCAGAAACATTGCAATTGTCATTGAAGTGAATGAACCAGTTTTATTCTTGTTTCCTTGGAGCTTGGTATAATGCCTTGCATATAGTAGGTGCTTAATAATTGTGGTTTGAACTGATTGGAAAGTGATTTCTTTGAAGGCTACTACTCCTTTGGGTATATGAAAAATGTTTGATTAAAAAAGAAAGGTTGATGTGTGCCATTGGGTCATGTCTGCAATCCTAGCTATTTGGGAGGCTGAGATTGGGAGGATTGAGGTTGGACGCCAGCCCCAGGCAGATATTTTGCAAGACCCCATCATCAAAATAACCAGAGCAAAATGGATTAGAGGTGTGACTCAGGCAGGAGAGGATTTGCTTTGCGAGTGTGAAGCCCTGAGTTCAAACCCCAGTTCCACTAAAAAGTAAAACAAAAGAAAAAGAAAGGTAGAAGCTGGGCATGCTGATACATGGCTATAACCCCACCTACTTGGGAGTTGGAGGCAGGAAGATCACAAGAGAGAGTGAGAAAGGAATTTATACTTCCAAATGAAGTATTACACCCATTTGGTAAATGGAACAGGGTGAGAGCAACGTGGGGAGATTAAGAGAGACTTCATGTAGGAGGTACACTCTCAGATGAGCTTTTAAGGGCAGGTAGGATTTTAAAAGCAATGTTAGGAAAAATGAGAACAGCTGCTTTGAGATGAGAAGGTGTCTTCAGAATATAAAAAGGCCTCAGGGTTTTGGAATTTGCTGTTCTGACTTCCTGGAATGTTCTTGCCCATGTTGTCTCCTTATCTTTAAGTCTTACTATCTTACCACAGTTATTCCTCTTTTGGTCACTACCATATTGCCCTACTCTATTGCTGTCTGAAATTGCTGTTACTTACTTAGAGTGTTTTTTCTTTCCTTTTCTCATGAATGAGATTGTGAGCTCCATGACAGCTTCTGTGGCTTCAGCACCTGGAATAGAACCTTACCTACTACATAGCAGGCACAGTACTTATTTGTTGAAGGAATAAATAGTTGTGTTCAGGTTGAGACTTTGTACCTAATTTGGTAAATAGTGGGTAATTGTGGCAAGTTTTTGAAGAGGGAGTATCATGTTTTCGTCTTTATCTTGAACTAATTACTGTGCCACTGGTGTATGGAATGGGTTTATGAAGATGACATTAGCGCAGGACAGGTTAGGGTAGCCGGCTGTTAGGGTAGGCAGTATGGTAAGTGGTGGTGGAGCCACATGGTTGCAAGACAATGGGAAGCAAGTTGGTGACAAGAAATATACAAGTCTTGGTGACAGGATGATAACAGTAATGAGAGGTTGCTGCCAAAGATGATTTGGAGGTGTTGCTCCTCTCTTGATAATATTAACAGGATTGAGAAGTCAAGAGGAATTGGTTTAGAAGGAAGGTAGTGAACTAAATTTGAATTTGAGTTGCTAGCCAGTTTTCAAGCAGAGATTCAGCAGGCAATTTAAAATGCAGGTCTAGAGCTCAGATGACAGGCCAGAAAAATACAGAAAACAACTTGAAAGTAAATTCATACAGGTTTTTGCTTTCAAACTAAAATGTCAACGTTTCTTTAACAAAGCAGCAATTGATATTACAGCTTGTAGGTTTTAAAAGGGTTGGAAAGTGAGTGGGTGTGTGTGGAAACTGTCACGTGTTGAGTAACTACTGTGTGCCAGTTATTACACAGGAGTGTGTACATGTTATCTGATTCGAATTGTAGGTGTAAAGAATATACCATTTATGGAATGTGAAGGAATTTAAGCAGTTTGCTCAGGAGCTCACTTCTCTGTCACTTCAGCATCCATATCCTTTTTCCTCCTTTGTTTTATTTTAGAGCTGAGGATTGCAAGGCCCCACACAGGCTAAGCATGTGCTCTTCTACTGAGCTATTCCTCAGCCAGAGCCCATGTTCTTTTATATATGCATTCTTGCTTGTATAAAAATCGAGATGCTTCTTATCCAGACTGAATAGGTAATTTCTCTTTTGATTGTTTTGCAAGTCAGTAAATAAGATCAGTTCTTCAGAAGACATAGGAAGCACTTCACTACATTCCCCTGCTAGGAATAAGAATTGCACACTGCATAAATGCATATAATGTACATGTTCTGTCTGAGCACAAGATAATTTAGTTACTGTATTATTATATTCTTTATAAAGTTTTCTCAGTGTTTTATTTTGAAATTTTTAATCCTATAGACAAGTTACAAGCATATTATAATGAACACAGTTACCATGTGACCAACAGTTGCACTCTGTGGTATATACCAATGGTTGTGGTGATTGTTGCTCAGTTCTTTAAGACAATTCAAGACACTGAATCATGCTTTTAAAGGGTGAATTAAGTACCAGTAAAACTATTATTTGTAAAACTAACAATTGTATAATGAGCACACAGATATCCTTCACTTAAACTCTCATATTGTTAAAAATTGGCGATGTTTGCTTTATCTCTTTTTCTGTATATAATTTTATTGTTGTTTGGAAGTAAGATGCAAGTGTCATGCACTTCTTAAATACTCAGATTTTATCTACTAAAAACCATATCTAATCATAGTGTAGGTTTTACACTCAGGAAATTGAACACTGATTTTTCTACCATTGTATAACGAACAGTTTATATTCAGATTCCCACAGCTTTTCCTTTAAACTTGGTTATTTTTGTCATATCTCTTTGATATTTATGACATATTCTAAGTTTTATTTTATATTGTTCAGTAGGTTATACATTCACATGGCTCAAAATTTGTGAAGTACCAAAGAACTCATACTGAAAAGAATTTTCTCCTATTCCTGTGCCAAAGCCACTTATCCCTAAAGGACAACTAATGTTAGCAAGTTCTTTCTGTCATTACTGAGACTTGGTCTATGTCTATAAATGTATGCATTCTCTTTTTAAAAACATTTACAAATTTTATATTTTTGAAAGTTTTATTTTTCCTTGCATCCAATTAGTATATGTTTTATTTTTATAACTTTTTCCCTTCCTTCCTTCTTTCCTTCCTTCCTTCCTTCTTTCTTTCATTCCCTTCCTCCTTCCCTCTCTTCCTCTCTTTCTCTCTCCCCTTTTTTTAAAACTGAGAAATAAGGTATTATTAGGGATGTGATTGTTAAGGAGAAGCAATCTCATTCAGAGATTGTGGAAGATTTATGTGAATTGGTTTGTACAACTATCTGAGAAGCTTAAAGAAAATACCTATCCCTGGACCCTTGTCCTCTTCTTCAAGAGGTTAAAGGTTAGTGATTCTGGGTTATGTGGCCAGAAACCCATGTTCTCAACTTTCTCAAACAATGATACATAATCTGCACAGAAAAATTGGATAAGTAAGAGAAAGGTGTTAGCACCAGGATATACCAGGTACTGAACCTTACTAGTGTATTCATGCATGTGTATGTATTTCCTAGGAAGGATTATTATTATTATTAAACGTTTTATTTTATTAGATTTTTAATCTGTCTTACTTACTTATTTTTTTTTTGAGATAGGATCTTACTGTGTAGCCTAAACTTACCTCAAACTTGTGATCCTCCTGCCTCAGCCTCCTGAGTGTTGTGAGTATTCAGATTACAGGTATGTGCCACCATGGCCCTCTTGGAAATAACTCTTATGTCCTACAACCTTAAGCATTTCTCCCTTTTTTGTACAAAAGTCCAGATTTCATTTTTGAAGTTTTAAGTTATCTTAGGATACTTGGTTTATCTGTCATTCTTTTGAGTGGATATTGATAGAATCTGATTGAACTCAATGGAAGTATCACTCTCCATCTTCCACCCATGCTATCTTCTACTAGTTGATACGGAATTAGGGTCGCAGACACATCTGAGCCTCAATATGATCTAAGTTAGGGGATTTGGGTTAATTTGAGCAACATAAAATTCTATGAAATTCTGAAAAGTTAAAATTCTTTATAATGTATTGATTTTCTCTAGGAAGTGAGATTAATTTAGGTATAACTTAATGTAGTTTGCCTTTTGCCAAGATAACATTCTTCTTGACTGTAGGCTTTTTGACTTCAGATCTGCTACACCAAATACATTTCTTTCATGGTTCCTGTATTTTAGAGAAATAATACATATTTTGGTATTCCATTGTATTGAAAGAGTTAATAGGTTCTTTCCAAAGAACCTATTTATCTTTTAAGGAATGTTTATTTGCCCCAATATAGCTGATCCATGTCAGAATACTTATAAAAAATTTTGTGAATAGGGTCATCTTTCAAATGATGAAATGCCTTTGTATTAAAAAAATTAACAAGTTGATGAATAACAAGCTTCTGGCCTTGATTCAAGATGCAGACCCTATATGAGTTATTGCAGTGTCCAGACTGTTTTCAGAGATGGATGGAGAGTGTATTTGTTTTTTTTTTTTTCTTCTGGAAGGAAGTTATTTTCGGAGTAGAATGG